CCTGTAGTCCCAGCTACTCGGGAGGCTGAGGCAGAAGGATCGCTTGAGCCCAGGAGTTGGAGGTTGCAGTGAGCTGACGCCACGGCACTCACTCTAGTCCAGGCAACAGAGTGAGACTCTGTCTCAAAAAAAAAAAACTTTAGAGCACAAAACGATGCCATCGAAAATGAGACAAGATAACCACAGAGCGGGAAAGACACCTGCATTTTTACGTCAGTTTTGGGACCGGCTCGCCCACGCTTGCAGAACAGGCTGTCAGGATGTCTACAGGCGCCGTGTTTGATCTTTACATACATTTGAGGGGAATTGTCTCTTAACAACGCTGCGTTTCCCAATTGGTGGACACGGAACACCTCTCCATTTATTGAACTCATTCATAGTTCCTCAGCAAGCATCTTGAAGTTTTCAGCGTACAAATCTTGCACTTCTTTTGCTAAACTTATTCCTAAGTATTTTATTCTTTTTTATGCTATTATGAGTGGAATTTTTAAAAATTTTGGATTTCTTATTGCTAGTACATATGGTATATAAAAATATAACTAACTTTTGCATATTGATCTTGCATCCTGAAAATTTGCTGAATTCGTTTGATAGTTCTAGTGTGCTTTTTTGTGAACTTCTTTTTACATATGGAGTCATGCCACTGGCAAAAAAAAAAAAAGAGAGAGACAGTTTTAATTCTTCTTTTCCAATCTGATGTCTTTAATTTCTTTCTTTTGCCTTATTGTACTGACTCAAATGTCTCTTTGGGGAAAGGTTTCAAAAAAAAATAAAAGAGAAAACGTTTCCAAGAAAATAGTAGCATTTCTGCCTGTTTACCTTAAAGAAAAGCACGTCCCTCTCTCCCTCCTTCCCTTTCCTTCTAACACACACACGTGCGCACGCAAGCACGCACACATATGCATAAACACATGCGCACACACAATGTGCATGCACATATGCATACACGCACACACATATGTGCACACACATATGCATACACACACGCACACAGCAATAGCCACAGGGACACAGCACAAAGGAACTCTGAAGAGACACACGAAAGGAACTAAAGAAAACTTCTAGAAAATAGCCAACTACAATAATTATCCTCAGACAATTAAGAGATGGCGTCACATCTGTGCACGAGAGGGGAGTGCCAAGAAATTTTTGTTTCAGAGAACAAACATTTTGAGAATTAAATGCACGATGGCAGAAAGAAAAAACTGAACAGAAAAGTTAGAAGAGAAAGTTGCGGACGTTTCCGAGAAAGAACAAAAAGCCAAGTTGGAGAGAACAACGGGGAACTAGAGCATCGAGTCCACGCCCGGCTGGCAGAGCGCTGGAAGGAAGAGGGAAGAAATGATTCAGAGAACGGGCCGTCGAGTGTCCCGCGCTGCAGGACGCGGTCCCAGGGAGGAAGGGCTCCGACACCTGCGGCGTTGGATGCGCGAACACGCGCGCCACGGGATGTCTGAGCTCAGAGAGGATGCCCCGTGACCCCGGGCCGGGTGGGAAGGGAGCAGCGAGGCAGCCCGAGGAGGTCGGGACCCGAACGCTGACGGGTCTCGACGGCAGCCCCGCGGGTCAGGAGCCCAGGCGGAAGGGCCTGCACGTTCCTGATGGAGATTCCGTCCCGCCTGTAATTCCACATCCAGGTGACATACCCAGTACGCGGTTAGAGCAAGCACATTTCACACACCGGCCTCATGAAATAACTGCCTCCCCCACCCTCCTCGTTCCCAGGAAGCTACTAGAAACACGTTCCATCTAGACAGCCCCCCTGGGGTTAGGGATGTCGGGTGCCCACGTGTGCGCCGTGGCAAAGCCACATTTACTTCTCAACTCCCGGTGTGCCCTTCCTGGCCGTGTCCAGGGGACGCCGCAACCTCTCCGGGAAGTTCCGTGTGGCCGTGCAGCCAGAGGCAATCTTGGAAACCAGCGGCCCCGAGGAACAGGGCGTGGCTGTCCCTGGTGCATGGCCAGGCCACTTGGGAAGATCCCTGTACCCCGCTGAGGTGTCCCGGGCCGCTGGGTCCCGGAAGCTTGGAGCAGAGGCGCAGGGCACACGCTCCCGTGTCCCCGATTCACTGGGACGGTCCACCCGCCAAGGGGTGAGGGGAACAGGTGCAACCCACCCCCACGAGCCCCGAACGTTCTCTGCAACTTCGAAACACCCGCCTCTAAGAACATCGACTAGCAGAGCGGCCAGGGCATCCCGGTCTCTGAACCAGGAGGATGCGCCAGACGAAGGTGCCAACATTTGGCCACACTGACCCGCAAAACTGGTGTTCTCGGCCCGAGAGCCGAGTGTCCCAGAGGGTGTAGGCCACACGGAGGCGACGGGGCCTGGGGCCACCGCATCACCCGGGGGCCGCCTGGTCTCGCCTGCCTGTCTGCAGTGAGTTGGGCGACTCTGAGAGCCGTCCAGTTAAGACAGGAGACTCCTGCCCTCAAAACATGGAGCCCTGCTTGGCTTCAGGGGTGACCCGGGAGGCTGACGGGGCGCCTTTCACCACCCTTTGGGGAAGCGGGACGGGCAGTGCCGACTTCCAGATTTCTGCTCGGCCCGGTTAGAAACGGCCGTGGCCGTGGCCAGCGTGGGCGGAGGGCGGTCAGGGATCACCTGCCTGCGGGTTCTGAACTGCAGACCCACGTCCAGGGGCCCACGCCCGGGGGCCCCAGAGCCCACAGGGACGGTGTGAGGTGCGCGGAGAGAGCAGCCGGGAGAGAAGCCAGAGCGCCAGCCCGCCCCACCGCCGCCGCCGCCGCCGCCGCGCCCGCCACATACCAGCCTGCGGATCTCGCGCTCACACTCCTTCTTGATGCGGCTGATCTCCTCCTGGTGCAGGTGGTACACGCTGCGGATCTCCGCGGCCTTGATCTTGTCGGCCTGCGTCACCAGCGTCAGCGCCTCCTCCACCTGCCTCTTGGCGCCCTTGAGCTCCAAGATCTCCTGCTGCATCTTGACCTTCTCCACCTCGAAGCCCCGCTTGACCTCCTCCTTGGCCTCCGACAGGAGCACGGTCTTGACCTTGTCGGGGCCGCCCTCACGCAGGGCGTGGAGCAGCGCCTGCAGCCGCTGGTTCTCGTTGTCCTTGATCTTGATGACCCTGAGCAGCTCGGCCTCGTGCTGCCGCAGCAGCGACTCGCGCACGGCCTGCAGCTCCTTCATTTTCTCCTCGTGCAGCTTGGTCTTGAGCTCCGTGAGCAGGACGGCGCTCTTGTGCTGCTCGTGCTCGCGCACCTGCCTCAGCTCCTGGTTCTTCTCGCGCTCCACTCTGCCCACCTGAAAGACAGCAGCGACACCGGGGTGGCGGGGGCGCCAGCCGCTGGGGGGTCGTGTTTTGGTTTGTTTTTTTTTTTGAGACAGAGTCTCACTGTGTTGCCTGGGTTAGAGTGCCGTGGCGTCAGCCCAGCTCACAGCAACCTCAAACTCCTGGGCTCAAGCGATCCTCCTGCCTCAGCCTCCTGAGTAGCTGGGACTACAGGCATGCGCCACGCGCCACCATGCCCGGCTAATTTTTTCTATATATTTTTAGTTGTCCAATTAATTTCTTTCTAATTTTAGTAGAGACAGGGTCTCGCTCTTGCTCAGGCTGGTCTCGAACTCCTGAGCTCAAACAATCCGCCCGCCTCGGCCTCCCAGAGAGCTAGGATTACAGGCGTGAGCCACTGCACCCGGCCTTGGTTTGTTTTTTTGGCAAATTTAGGAGCCACCTCCATTCCGAAATCTCCCCTTCAAACGTACATTAAACACAGAACCCAAGTCTGGCTGGTAGCAGGTGCAGCCGTGGCGCTCCACAAAGCGCGGGCGTGGGCAGCGCCAGCCTGGAATGGGAGGCTGTGGACACTCGGTCCCTGGAAGGTGGGCCCATCCTCCAGGAATGGGCCAATCCGGGGAGGCAGAGCCCAGACCTCTCACGCAAACCTGCCAGGGGGAGCAGGAAGCTCTCCTGCGGACACAGCCCCAGGGAGCAGGTGGGCGCTGGCCGGGTATCCTCGGGCAGCCTGTGCCCAGCTCCCTGCATCCTACCACAGAGGGTGCTCCCGGCGTGCGGCACTCGGCAAACGGAACAAATCCGAGCAGCTGATCCGCCCGACGTGGCCTCATCTCAGGCTTTTGGAAACACTGAGATTTTTGCCTGGATGTTTTGTTCCCACCTAGATGCTTAAACCTTTGGCTAAACTGTCAGGCCACCCACACCCTGGCACGCAGTAGGTGCTCAACGTCTGCTCAGGGAAAGAAGGAATGGCGGCGCCAGTCCTGCCCTGGATCTACCCTGCGGCTGGACGACCAGGCCTGCAGCACACCGGGTTCACGCCTCGGCACCCCGGCCCCCCACGGACTTGGGGCTCCGCTCCCCCCGCCCCGCGGAGCAGCTAAGCCATGAGGCTCCCGGGTCAGGCCCACGGGGTCTCCCGTCCCCGGCACAGCGTTTATCCCCAGGCTGTCCTCGGGCTCCGGGGCTCCCTGCTCACCTGGCAGCCCCCACCGTCCCCACAGCCCCACCCCCGGCCTTGCAGCTCCGGCCTTGGTCACACCAAGGAGCCGCACCTGTCCACCCTGTGTCACTCAGGCCACTGAGACGACCCAGGGGGAAGCTCAGGTTCACTTCTGGGGAGGTCTGTCGGGCAAAGCCCCCAGGGGCCTGCAGCGCACACCTGTGCGGAGGCACCTGGGCTTTGGGGCCACCATCCGGCCTCTGCTTAGCAGCCCGCAGGTCTCCCCATGGCCTCAGACCCCCAGCGGTCTGTCCTGAGCCCCCTGAGAACACTCCCGGGCCTGCAGGACGCCCCTCTAGGCAGAGCCGGCTGGGCGGTTGGGGCCTGGGAGGGCGTCACGGGCGGGGGACCCACCTTGCTCTTCTCCTGCTGCAGCTCGATCTGGATGTCTGTGAGCTTGGCGCGGAGCTCCTCGTTGGCCGCCTGGAGCGCCGCGAAAGCCTCCGCCTTGTCCCCCTTGGCTCGGCCGCCAGCGCCCTTCTTGGACATGGTGAGGCTGGACGGCGGACGGGATGTCGGGGGTGGGTGCTCCCTCTGGGCGGGGGTGTCCACGCCAAGCTCCAGCAGGCGTCACCGGGGCTGTCGCTCCACTACATTTTCTCACTCACCTGCAGGGAAAGCACACCGCAGGTGAGCAGCTGCTCCTGGCCGGCCCCGGAGACTCGCGGCCTCTCACCTGCTTGGCCCCGTCCCAGCGATGAGGACGCTGCTCCAGCTCCCAGAGCAGGGAGCCAGCCCCAGACCACAGGCATCAGCCCCGTGTAGTGTCCCCAAACAGGGACCCCACGTGGAAGACCACGTCTCCACGCCTAGCACATAACAAGCACCTGATAAGTGTTAATTCCTTTCCCTCCTAGGAATCAGAGGTTGGACACCCAAGGTGAAACCCAGAATTTCACACCTGGGTGCGAAGCAGCAGGATGGCAACGTGGGCGGACCACAAGCCACTCGAGCCGGACCCACAACCTGCGTCCAGGAAATACCCAGAAGTACGGAGAGTAGGGTCTCGGCAGGTATTTGTAGACTCGTGTCCGCAGCAGCGTCACGCACAGTAGCCGAAGGAGGAAGCGCCCACCTGTCCATCCACCGATAAATGGATAAACAAAGTGTGGGATTCCACAGGACGGAGTACCGTTTAGCCTTCAAAAGGAATGAAATTCAAACACGTGCTACAACACGGATGAATCTTGAGGACACAACGCCCAATGAAATGAACCAGTCGCAAAGCGACAAATCCCATAGGATTCCACTTACGCATCGGGTGAGGAAGGAACACGCCACAAGGCAGACCTGTCCCGGGACTCGGGCACCAGGAGGGGCTTGCACAGGCACCCAGCCTGCAAGGTGGGTGGCGCAGGAGCGGTCCCGGAGGCCCCGAGCCCTGGGGTTGGAGGAAGCGAGTGGGCCAGCCCAGCCCTGCAGGCCACTGCTGGGCGTAAGCAGAACGGCCGGGGCAGCTGATGGGTGCTGGGCCCACAGGCACCATCGAGGGAGCCCTTCAAGTCCCCCCCAGACCCTTCTCTGGGAAGATACGACCCACCAGGGCACGTCGGGCACCGGGGGACCCCAAGCCAGTGTTGGGTGGTCTCTGGGCTGGCCCACTCTCCCTGGGGCAGCAGAAGTAATTCCAGGACCGTGTTCCCAGTGAGAGGCCGCTGAGCCACACGCAGGGTTATTTAAGGAACTGAGGTCCTGCCGCTTGGAGGGAAGGTCCATGTGTCCAGACCACTGGCTGCCCTCGGACACCAAGACAGCAGGACACGTGCAAAGGGCGGAGACTGCCTCTGAGTGGCCCCCAAGGAATATTTCAGGGCAGGGTGTAAGACGGTGGGGACAAGTCTCGGCCAAACGTGACAAGAGCTGTCCGCAAGCCCGGCAGGTGGAAGGGCTGAGTGTGGCCCCCAGCCCATCAGGACCAGAGCTGGGTGTGTGGGAGGGGACGCGGGGCGCACGCGCAGCGGGGCCAGCCTTCCTTCCCCGCCAGGTCAGCGTCTCACTCGGCAGGGGCTGCAATTGCCAAAGGCACGAGGGACACAAGTGTGGACACGCCAGCCAAGCCTCTGGCACCACAGGGAGTCAGCCCAGCGCCAGCCCCTCCTGCGCCCCAGGCCCGCGGGCCACTCCGTCTCTAGCGCAGGTCCTCAGCCGCCCTGGGCCCCGCCCTGCTCCCCGACCCTGACCCTGCGACCTTTCTTGAGCTGCCAGGCCCCCAGGTGCTGACGTCTGGGCTGGAGCCATTAAGGCCCATCAAGGGCCCACTGGGCCTGTCCCAGCATCTCCAAGCTGGCCCCAGAGCCGTCCCTGGGGGCCAGGAAACAGTAGGCCGAAGGCGCGTTTTCCCCACTGTTCGTGTAGGGGAGCCATACAGTTTGTCCTATCCAGTCCAGCTCGATTTCAAACACCTCAGTGGGCGAGGCAGGGTCATTTCCAGGGACAACTCTGCGTGGCAAAGCCCTCCCCCGGCACACACGCCACGCAGGAGGGCCGTTCCCACGCGCTGACCTCTCCTTCACCAGAGCCGACCCTGCTCGCCCTCCTCCCAGGGAACAGACGCCACTTGGCAGCCTCACGGTGCCCGGACACTCCACCGACACGCGGGTAGAGCTGGCCGTGGCACAGGTGGCGCCCTGAGTGGGCACGCGCCCAGGCCTCGGCGTAAGGGATCAGCAGTCTCCGCCCACTGCAGCGAGTAGCTCCGGCTCCGTAACAGGGAAGCTGCGCTCTGTGCCTGTGAGACCTGTCACCAGGCCTCTTGCGCTTCCTACTCCGCTGTGGGTGCCTCCCCCAGCTGCCCCTCCCCCAGCTGCTCTCTTCCATCCAAGCTGCTCCCTCCTCCTCTCCCAGCTACTCCTCTCCCCAGCTGCTCTCCTCCCTCCCAGCTGCCCCTCCCCCAGCTGTTCTCCCTCCCGGCTGCTCCTCCCCAGCTGCTCCCCCCCAGCTGCTCCTCCCTCCCAGCTGCCCCTCCTCCAGCTGCTCCCTCCCAGCTGTTCCCCCCCAGTGGCTCCTGCCCCACATGCTCCTCCCCCAGGTGCTCCCCTTGGCTGCCCAGAGGACCAAGGGCACTCTATGCTCGACAGGTCCCCGGGGCCATCTGTGGCCCTCCCACTCCTGGGGCTTCCCCCCATCCCCATGGTGACCAGCTCTCCCAAGCAAGGGCAGAAATCACCCCTTTTCCCACCTCTCTTTGTTCACGGTTTTGTTCTCACCACCTACTGCAAGGCCGTGAGGCAACCAGGACAGGAAAAGACAAGCCAACAGGACACACATGGAAGCTTCTGGATTGTGAGGGTGGCAAGAGCAGGGACCCCAGCTCCCAGCACCTGTCCATCGCATGGCGTGACCCCAGGAGAGACAGCTGAGAAACCGCACTCAATGTCACCTCCCAGAGGCCACTGCCTTTCCTGGTGCACACAAGCCCATCCTCGCTCCTGCGTCCCGTATCCCAGCCTCTGTCTGCCGTGGGCGGGGGTGGGGGACAGACACCAACAGTCCAACGGAGGCCGAGCTGCGGGCGGTGGGCTCCGCAGGGCAAGCGGCCCGGCAGGGCCCGTGGGGGGCCAGGCAGGCTTTCCAGGGGGAACTCTGGGCAGAGGCCTGGGGTGAGTGGGGACAGCCGCACAGAGAGATGGGAGGAGGGGAGCAAAGCGGCGTCGTGGCCAGCAGGGAGATGGCGCAGACTCCCCCAGAGCTGGGAGGAGCCTGGTCGGCTGAAATGCAGACTGGGGTGGCAGGCAGGGTGGTGCCGGCGCATGTCACCCTGAGGAGCCTGCTGGCGGCTGTCGAGGCGTGTGGCCCGGAGCGTCTCTTCCCCAGACCGGGCCTGTGCAGTGGGTTTCGCTGCCAACTTGAGGCTGGAACTGCGTTTTCCATACTCACATTGGGAAAGTCATTAGATCAATAGCACCGACTGCCTACCTTTCGTTTCGGGGTCTCCGAGGAGGTAATGAAGGCGGTTTACATTCGAATCATCTTTGGAAGGCTGTAGAGGCGGTTGGGTTGCTCTCTCTGCAAGCGGTTTTATGTTAGGAGGTTTCCGCAAGCAGGACAAAGCTTCGTGGGTGATGGATGTGTTTCCGCCGTGGGTTAATCGCCGCAGTTAACCCCAACGCGGAGGAGGCCGGTCTGGCTGGGGCGTCGCTCTGCACCCAGCCTGCTGGGCCGTGTTTAACGTGCAGCCGCTGGGCTTGGCTCTGCCACCGTGCGACACAGAGGACCCAAGAGGCCGGTAAGAGCCGCCAGCCCCGAGCAGCCTTCAGCGCAATCCTGTGTGTTCACACACGCCCACGGTGCAAAGGGCAGGGTCTTCGGCAACTTTGGCGACCTGCAAGGCTGATACCATCGACCTGGGCTCCTTCTGGGTTAACTAGTTTGTCTACACAGAGGGATGAATGTCATGAGTCCCTTCCACAGAAATCCAAGGTGTGGCAGCCGGGGGAGGGGCCCCAGGGAGGGGACAACACGGAACCACCAAGTTGAGGGCTGCAGCTCCCTCCTGGTCACGGTCTGGCAGATGCCCACGTGCGGCTCTGCCCGGAGCACTCCAGGGAGGAGCAAGGAAAAGACAGACCAGGCAGCCAAGGGGCCCCTCCCCGGGCAGGGCCTCCCAGGGCGCCCGCAGGCCAAGCTGACAGCAGGGGGTGTTGAGGAAAGAGCCATCGCTCCAGCGCCGGTGTGGACAGCTTTCTTCAGAGGGGACTCCTGTCGCAGAAGCCACTTTCCGTGTGGTTTTAGGGTTGCCTGGTTTAGCGGAGGGAGGAAGGCTGAGGTCACATGAGTGACTGGAAGTCTCTTTTGAGATGTAGGAATTGGCAGCAACTATAACTTTCTAAAATGAACCACTGAGCATTTTCTGTGCTTTCCAAGTGGTAGTGCAAGCGTTTCAAAACAACAGAACTAAAAGATCAAAACTGTGCGTGGTTTACGCACAGCTCAGCTTCTACACAGACCAGCCGACCGCCTGCCTGATCTGGAGACGGGGAACGACCAGGTTTCCAGCACGGGAAGGGTTTGTCACCCGACCAGATCCCCCGCTTTTCAGACGAGGAAACCCGGGTGCAGAACAAGCGTTCTCTACCCCAGAGCCACGGGGCAGCCTCCCCAGACAGCCTGCTCCAGACCACTCTCCCCACGACAGCCGGCGGGGCCTCCTTGCTGGTGAAAGTACGAGCTCTTGACACTCAGGGCCTGGGGTGGGTGCTCAGAACGGCCTCAGGAGTGGGCAAATCAGGCCCAGACTAAAAGCCATTTTGGGTCCACCTAAGAAATCTTAAAGGCAAGCCTCAAAGGATAACACTCTTTCCCAACAACTCAAACGTGTCCCAGAACAAAGCTCAAAAATATTTAAAGAAATGTAGGCCAGGTATGGTGGTTCACACCTGTAATCCTAGCATGCCGGGAGGCTTAGGCAGGAGGATTGCTTGAGGTCAGGAGTTCGAGACCAGCCTGAGGAAGAGTGAGACCCGTCTCTACTAAAAATAGAAAAGTTAGGC